CGTGTATGTTACCAAGCCGGATGTCGTCATCGTTTGAGAGAAAACTTGGCTGAACAGTCGGTTTGCGCGGGAGTGGAGAGAGTTTCGGCGGCATTGCAATTCCTTCACTTGATTTTACAACAAATACGACGAAAAAGTGGTATCTCAAGCGTTACCCCACCCTTCCCCCCCTTCCTCCCCACAAACAGCAACAAAGGCCACAGTTAACGCCAAATTGCTGTCCAAGGAAGTTAAAAAAAAAAAAAAAAGGAAAATGAAAAGGAAAATATAAATAAACATACATACATACATGTTTATTTATATTCCTTACTATAGAAGTATATACAGGGTAATGGGAGTTACGCCACAGACACAGAGGGGGGAGAAAAAAAAAAAAAAAAACTCTATCCTACCCTCTGGGTAGCAGAAAGAGAGAAGGTGCAGATACAAATTTCCTCATATAAAACCCTTTTGTCCAATTTTTTTTTTTTTTTTATCTCCATTTTATTTTTGCATGTTCTCTCTTTTTATTTTTATCTTCTCTTCTTACCTCTCATTTGATGGGGAGTAAAGAAAAAGATTTGTGATTGTTTTTTTCTTTTTTTTTGCATAAAATATGCACATGGCGCCTGATCACCCACTCCCCTCCCCCAAGAAGAGACCGGGGCTGTAGAGAAACGGGTGTGCAAACCGCCATGTGTTGCTTTATTTCCTTCTTTTTTTTTTTTTTTTTTTTGTTTAGAAAAAAGAAAACAAAAAAACTGTGAGTGGGTCAGTGGAGCATGTGTGAATTCGCTGGTGTATGCGTGTATATATATGTATATATGTGTGTGCAAGCCCGAAGTGTTTCGTGCGTGGACACGCCTGCACCCTCCCGTTCCTCCCATTCACACGAATATCGCCCCCGTCATGCATGCACGCACACACACAAACGGATGCGTGTACACGACTCCAGAAGATGAAGAAGGGGAAGAAACAAAGAAATAGACACACCCCTCACAAAAACAACGGCACCATCCAAAAATAATACTAAAAGGACACACAATAGAAAAGAAAAGAAAAAAAAGAAAGAAGGAAGAAAATAAAGCCCACCAAAAGAGACAGGCACAACAACACCGGAAGGGTCACAAACGAGTCAAGTGCATTCACATAAACGCCAAATAAAAACAAAACAAAAAAAAAAAAAAAAAAAGAAACGGAGAATAATAAAAAAGAATGATGTGAATACGACGACAAAAGAAAAAGAAGAAAAGCACCAACATTAAAGATGGCGCTAGTGATATGCGGCCGTACAGGGAATGTAAATTTAATCCGCGTGCATGAGTCCTCCTACCTCCGTGACATGGAGGGTTTGAAAGAAACACACACACAAATACCCCCAGGGAAAAAAAAAAAAAAAAGAAAAAGAAAAAAGACGGCAAAGCAAACACAACAAACCCCACATGAAAAAAAAAAAAAAAAAAAAAAAAACACGCAACCAAAAAATTTGCTGAGAGTTTTTTTCTTCCGCTACTCCCATTTCTCACAATATTAAAAAGACACCCCGCAGACTCAAACACAAACACATATATGTATGTATATAAATATAAGTCAGGAATACACCTGACTCTTCTTACCTTGTCCACTACTCTCTAAAACATCCGCTAATTCCCCTCCATCATTCCTCCTTTTTTTTTCTGTGGCCATCAGCGGTGCTCTTCTCCCCTCATAAGGCTCATACTTGCAATTATTTCCTCTTGTCGCATTACCAGAAGGAAGCACTAAAAATGGCAATCACCCGTCACAACAAAAACAACAACAACAACAACAATACAATGAGAATAAGTGTACCAAATCGTACGGACTCCAAACCATCCGCCCCCCACTTTTTCTTTTTTTTTAGTTTCATCCTCTTCCGTTTTTATTTTCGTTTTTTTTTTTTTTCCCCTCCGAGTTCCGTTTGTTTTCTTTCCTTCTTCTTTTTCTTTTGTTGTTTTATTTTCATTTCTTCCCTCCTCTTCTTACTTCGTTGTTCTTTATATGTGAGTGAGTGCAACGCATTGTTTTAAAGGTGATTTGCCCCTCTTTTTTCTTTTTTTTTTTTTCATTTATTATTATCATTTTTTGTTGTTGTTGTGTTTTCTTTTTTCGGGGGGAGGGGATTTGCTGCTGTCTTGCCTCGCCTCGCTTCGCGTCACGGTTTTGTTGGTTGCTTCGTTGGGGTGCCGTCGGATGGCAGTGCGTTCTGTTGTCTTTCGAGAATGCCCTTAAATTCTATGAGAGCCTGAAGCTGCAGCGGCTTGTGGCCCACCCGCATCAGCGTGCGAAGAACATCCAAAAGCTCCCGTGCTGTTGGCGACACCGTCGCGCACACGGTGGAGGAAAGAAATGCATCCAGTGCGCTGGGATGGCTGTCGGAATTGTAAGAGTCTTCCAGCGCCCTAAACAACCATGAAAGCCCAGTCGGACTAAAACACCCCATGTTTGTCAGAGCAAGAAGACTGAAATAAACAGTTTCATACTCGCTCCCACCTGATGTTGAAGCGGCCTTCGTTGCCAAAGCATGAAACTCCTTTGAACGTGAGCTAACCCCGCCTTTTTGTTGCGTTACATGCTGTGATTCTTTCTCCTCCGCTACGGTGTTGGTAGAGCCCAACAATGCGGCCAACACTGTGGGGAACTTTACATGCAGGTGATCGTCAAGCGTCGTGGACTCTGAAAGAAAAAAAGGAACGGTTCTGTTGGGGCGTTTTGTGCGGTCCGTCTGTCCCAGGTGTCGTAGAGCAAATTTTACCGCCTCGCTCAATGTGATACTCCACAACATCGCTGTTTTGTTGTTGTAAGATATGACCTCCCGGATCGC